TCACAGCACGGCAGGTTCGGACCGGCCTGGCAGCCAGCTGGCAGCACGGAGGCAGCCGGTGGTAAGAGGCCACGGGAAGAAGTTGCACAAGCACATTCTATACAAGCCATTTATTTGAAACGCCAACTATACGTAGGATAAAGTCAGTGTTGCATGCTTCTCAGCAACAGTAGAAAAATAGAACCAGTGAAAACCTTTTTACAACTGTAATGGTACTCAAAAGAGAAATGTATTGTTTTACAATGCATCACACAAGACTAGAATTCAAGTTTGGAGGTACCTAAATAAAAATACTATATTTTTTTAAAAAACACTATATACAATTGAAGCGTAAACAAGTTTTACAAAGTACTGGTTATGCAGGTTGTAGAAAAAACACTTGCATAGGACATGAAGTCAGTTTAAGAAAGTTTTCTGAGCCTTTAGCATTGAAGGCACTTGACTTTATACCAGTAACAACACAAGGACAAGAAACAAAACCGGAACGCTGCCAAAGGCCGGGCTGCCTTCTGGCAGTACAGGCAACTACAGAGACCCAAACACAGCTTTACAATTCCCCTCCTGCTGCTCCCCGCGCCCGGCAGAGCTCAGCACCACCTCTACCATAGAAACATGTAATTGTTAGAAGAAAGAACAGTGCCTCAAACAGCACGAGTATTCTTTCCAAACAAAAAACACTCAAATCCCAACACCCCACCCCCCAAACCCAAACCAAAGAAACCCCCAAGACAAACATTTGGGACATTCCAGGACCAAAACCCAAGGCTTACAGGTACAGGTGGCCACAGCCTTAACTTTCAGAGATGAAACTCCTCAAGAACAGGAAAAATACAACGAGAAACTGCCAATCAACATAGCAGTTATTAATACACAGCTACAGTAACTCCATGGAACAACAAAACATTTAAAAGGAAGAATCTGTTTCAGGAATTAAGTTATTCATCCATATATTAAGGAAACAAGAAGGGGCTCAGGGAAAGGGGAATAAGAAGTTTTTGCATGTTGCTCATTAAATGAAAGTCTGAGCTTGCTCTTTAATAGAATAAGGAACACGAGTCTTCCTCATTCAAGAAAACTTAATGTTCATACCTCTATCCTCAAGCAAAATAGTCAGTAATCTGTTATTCCATCAAATTTACAGAGGAAAAGATGTTAACTTCCAGCCTAACCAGAAAGTGCTTCATGTAAACAAGGAGCTTCTGCACCAAAGTTTCAATAGACAGAGAACAAGTAGTAGCAGGTAGTACAGGTACACGTGTTCTGCGAGCGAGATGCAGTACAAACACTAGATTCTAAATAATGCTTCCATGAAGAATGAAGATGGCCTCTCTCCCCTCCCTCTGCATGTCCAGCTAAGCAGGGAGTACAAGAACACACTTCCGGTAATTGGACAAATCCTTCTTCTCCACTTCAAATCAGCTGCCATCTTCTTCCCAACTCAAAATACACAAGTGAAAACACAGATTGTCTACACGGCCTGATTGTCTTTGAGGCCTCAGAAGGACTTGTCTTTTATTTCACACCTACTTTTAAATACCTTATCCTCTTTTTAATACTGCTCATCTGAGGTGTCAGAAGCCATTTTGTATTCTAAAATGCAGGCACATCCCCCCCAGAGGCATTTCTCACCAGTTCATTCCAAAGCCAAAGCATTTCATGATTTCTCTCAAGCCATAACCTCAAAACTCAGTCTTCGTCAGCCACGTCCCCACAAATTCCAAGCTGAGAAGTTACCTCCGTAGATTTCAGCCCCACCTCTGCCCAGGCACACAGTGCCACATCGAACTACGGCAGCTACAACAGCTTTCTCAAGTACCTCTACCAGTTTAGGTAAAAATAAATTACTCAGAATAGCAAGCTTGCTGAGGACAGCAATGACTTTTTAGTAATTAAGATACCACCATACATCTGGCACAACTGCAGCGAGCATAGGGTTTGTGTGTGACAGAAGTTAATGCTTCTAGTGCTGGCGAGAATGAGACCCAAGCGCCAGTCAGAGCTATACAGTCAGACAGCACCGGGCTCAAATCTTCAGAAGAAACCCAGCGAACCTCATCCTCTCACCTGCAGCAGCACCATCCCCCCACAGACACCTCCTGCATTTAACCATGTTCTGCACTGCGGCCCCATGGGTATACCACATGCTGGCAATGAGGCCAGGACCACCAAGGGTCCTGACTGTGGGCAAAACCAAGTGATTAAAAAGGCTGAGAGAAGGGAAAACAACAACCCAACCAAACCAGAAAAGGCCCATTTCCCCTCACCCACCAGACACAGCACCTGCGCAGTTCAGCTACGTTCTCCTCCAACCACACACACCTCCCATGGCTGATCTCAAAAGGCACCTCTGCAAAGCTCTCAGAGAAGCAGGAGGCCTGCAGGTGCATGCACCAGAGACATTAGGATCTACTGGGTCTAACCCCTATTCTCATTTATTGAGAAGCTATTTGGTAGTTTGAAAATGCAGTATTCAATCTATTTCAGTAACTCAAAGTGTTGTTACCAGGCCTTCCACTTGAACAAAATGGGTTAGGTTAAGAATCTGCCATCAACTACAACTAAAAACACAGTGGCAACAAGATTTCTGTTTAGATAGTATTAAGCATTTTGAACTGCAGGAAACAACCTAACCTTGAAGTAGTCCTTAGGTCACACCTGGGATTAAAGTTTTCTATTACTGGGAAAATTTTCATTATAGAAACTGCATTTTAGAAAACCCAAACAGGCCTTTACCACTGATCACTACACTGCAGTGGCACCAGATCCCTATCCTACCTGCAGTGAACCTGTGGTAAAACTGCACGGTAAGTATCAAGGATGCACTTAATTACAACCATTACACCCAGAGCACTGCTCAACCCCAACCCCGTGGCAGGGAGCCAGCCCAGATCACTCCATTCCCTCTTCATACCATGTTAAGAGATCAACTTCATTTCTGTGCTTCAAAAGAGCAAAGTCAGGAAATGGGAGTGTAATTTAAGAGCACTGAAGCTTTGCATGTTTCATTATCCTAGAGCACTTGCTCTTCACTTTGATTTTGTTCACAGAACAGCTGTGATTAAGAAGTCAGCAACACTTCAGATCAGGTAAGGAACACTGAACCACATCACTAAGAGTGAAGCCCTTTTTCAGTCATAGGCAGAAGGAAGCAAGGCAACAAGCAGCCACCTTGGTACCTCTGTGGGAGAGGGAACCCTCTCAAGTGGAGGGTCACTGCTCAGGCAACGGCAGAGGTGCTACGCCTTGTCCTCCTGACACTCCAGGAGTTAGCATGAATCCCCTGCTTTGGTCTTCACTTACCCCCACATGTGAGTAGCTGGAAGAACAACTTATTACTATTACTTTTTACAGTATTTCTGGATTCATTTCTGCATGGGAAATGAATGATTCTGGTCCATGGTCACAACTGAACCAGAAAGCAAATGGAATCAGGCTGTCAGATCCCAGTGAATTTCACTGGAATCTGGACTCCTAAATAACCCCTGGACTCTTGAAAACCCAAATGTAACTCTTGAAGTGGGCTTGCTGTATAAGGGTAAGACCCAGCTGCCAGAACTTTTCAAACAAAACCTTAGACTGGATTCTTGCTGTAGTGGTAAAAATCAGGAAGATTTCAGATCTAAACAAACAAACAAAGAAATCTAACTAAAAATGTAGTATTTTGATGTGCTGTTCTTTGGAATTCCTATAATTAAAAAATAAACGCGTTGTTACTATCTCATAAGAAAATACATTTCATCATGTGCAACCCAATGCACATCAGGAATTGGCAGGTGAGAGGGAAAATGCAAAAGTATGAAAATACAGTCCTTTAAATGTGACAATAAAGTTTAACATATTAGTACAAAACCAATACACTAAAATAGATGTACAGGTGCAAAAGGCTACCAGGTTGTACAAAAAAAGGTACCAGCTCTTTTTTTTTTTATTTCCCTAAAAGGCTTAAATTTGCTCAAAAGAGATTCCCACAAAATTAAACCAGAAGCAGCATTAAACCCGAACCGATAACATGCCATCTCTAATAAAGCCATGGTATGTACAAAAGAAGAGTGAAGCTGAATTTATCTGCTGGCGTGAATGAACGTGTCTGACAGAAGTCAGGCCAGAAGTTGCAAAGAATGGGATGTTTACAACTCGTAGGCACAGAAAAATAGTGGAGGTTGCTTTCAAAGGGCAGACTTTTTATACAGGAAGTCTGGTTTGTTTGGAGACCTCCTTCCTCGGCTTACTGCATCTTCCCTTTCCAAATCTGCGTTCCTCTGTGCTCCATGTTCCAATGGCTCATCATCTGTCAGTCTCCTGCTGGGTCTCTCTTCTTGCCCATCAGAAGCGTATGTGGAGAGCGGAGGTCTGCTGGAGGTTAGCCCATAGGTTAAGTCGGTTTCCATCTTTGTTCTCCCCCTGATGTGAACTGGGCCGTTACCAGCACTTTCCTGGGCAGCCAACGCCAAGTCCAGTCGCTGGGGAGGTTGCTCTAAGACATCGAGGTGTATTGGCTCATTCTTTTGTCTATGCTGATGCCCATCTTGGGAGAGCACGTATTCCCTCCGAGAATCCTCTTGCTTTTTAGGAGATATCTGGGAAGGTAGGTAGGCTGACTTTAAGCCACTTGGTGATGCCTTATTGTGGCTGTACAAATCTGGGCCAAAATATATGCCTTGTGAAGGCGAAGGACTGTGCCTGTTGGGTGCTGGAGTAGAGGGTCTGCATGCAGCATTAGAGAAGTCATAGAAGTCAGGATATTACTGCTGATTTTCTCGGGCATCTATTTTTTGCTCTATTGCATGTTTCTTTCGAGAAGTGGGCATGTGTCTGTTCTGAACACATGAAATGTGCTGGGGTGGACCGGGCCCTACCTCTGTAACCGTCTGGCTTATCTCCGTGTCAACGGTGAGCTCTGGTAATCTTCTGTCTTTTAGAGACATCACTGACACACCCATTGCAATATCTGGCATCAGTTCATTTAGCAAGGGCTGAGTACACTGGAAAAGAGAAGAAATTGGTCCATGGAAACAAAGAAAAAGCTAAATACAAACTGTATTTAGGGCCATTTCTGTAATTCAGAATGGCATTTTCCTCATCTACCTTTGCCTAGACCAACCTCAGCCTGCAAGCTTCCTGTGCTGTTTAAAGAACACATGTATCCTCCAGCCTTCACCTTCCTGCTAGCTTAAGGCAACTTCTCTCCTTTATGAAGCTATGGTGCCGCAATAGTAGTTTGTGTGGCAAACATGCAGGAAATGACACCATGCTGTCAAACTCTCAAGAGGTAACCCTGCTTTGACGCACTTACCATTATCAAACTAACAAGGTGCAGAACTTAGCACATGGTTTGTTACAGCACAGAGCTCCAGTGCAGGAAAGACAGGAAACACGTATGTCACCAGTACAGATGCAACCCTCCTGCCTGCATTTCCTATTTTAAGGTAAGTCAACTGCAGGCACATGTGTGTGTGCATGACAGCCTTGGGGCAGTGCTGACTAGATCCACACAGTGCCCGGAAGCTGTGGCACAGCTTACCTACACCTGTAAACAACCCTGCAGCAAGACAAGCATGTTGCAGCCTTCCCGCTGGAAGGGTTGAAGTTCCCACTTGCATTTGTCATTTCTGATGAAAGCAAGTTTGGGAATCATTGATTACTAATATCTAACAAACCGCAGACAGAACACAGAGCAAAAGTATCATCCATATTAAGGCTATGCTTCCCCTTTCATTTTTATAGAAACATTTCTAATGTGAAAGAGTTTCCTTCATGAAATCAGTATGGCTCAAGAGACACACACGCTACAAAACCTACCCTTGAACAAACAACAGCAAACCATTCTCATTTGAAGTTAAAAATATTTATCCTAAAATGTAAAAAGGTGTGCAAGATGTTTAGGACAACTGCTAAACGGAAAGTTATAAAAAAAAGAAAATTAAGAGATTGCTGTTTCCATTCATTACTCCAGCTCCAATCTGCACCTAAGGAGCAGGTCTGCAGTGTGACACACCTGGGCACTGAAACTGTGTTTTCACTGCAGAAATAAATTTAAAAATGCTTTATTTAGCTTTCCTATACTTCCCAAAGCTGTGTCTTCATCCAGTATGTTGTAGTTCAATGTTTTCACTGCATCACAGCAGCTATAATGACTGCCTTTAAATGCTGTAACCAACTCCTTTGTATTTGCAATTACCAGCTTCTGCTTGCCTATGCATTTTACAACCTTTCTCAGCTGTAAGGCTTTCACATTCTCCACAGGTTCCCTTTCCACACATCTGTTTGCTTCAGGACTACTTACCTTGAGCAGTCAAAGCTTCATTACTATTTCCACCCATGAACTACAGCACCCAGCGCACTACTGAAGTGGACTTACACTTTGTCTAAACGTAGAGCAACCTGTATTATTTCAGAATATCCACGAGTCCCACTTGCCCCTCCAAAATGCTCCTGCCCCTGGAACATTCGCTCTCCCAGGGATTAGGGCATGTCTTTGGGATACAGAATACTGGCAGCCAGTCTGGTAGAAAATTCTTTTCCTAACCAACAAAAATGCTCTTTTATTTAACAAAACCAAGTTACCTCATTGTAAGAATTCTCTCCAGCTCCTCTCTATACTACTTTGGCCAGAGATAGGGAGAAGAAGAGAAGTTGTAATACTTACTACTTGCTTCTCAGCTGCCATCACTGCCGTGGCTGCAGCCACCGTCTGCCTCCCCAGCCCTGCAGTGTTGGTGCAATCCGGCGGTGTCGCTTTCACGCTGGGCAAGTAGACGGGCGGCGCAGCCTTGGGGGCAGCTCGGGAGTGGAACAGCGAGTGGTTACATGGGTAGGAAAAGGAACGGGAGGGATGTTGACTTGGCACCCTTTGTTTCCAGCCCACTTTGAACTGGTTATGAATAGGAGTTGCTGGTGGGTGGTATGGAGGTGGAGGAGGGGGCAATGGTGGATGGAAGGCCACAAAAGAGTCCAGTTCTGTAAACATGGTTTCTGCAGTGGGAGTGCTGTTAACACGACACCGTCCAGACTGTCTCATTGTCAGGAGCGGGCTTTCGTCCCCAAATCGCTCATCAGGAAAGAATTTGTGAGGATTCTGCAAAGGAAAATAACCCAGAATGTAACAAAAGGTAGGAATTCATCCAGAAAAATCTCCTAAACTAACATGCATTGGAACTAGGAATCTGCTAGTACAGGAGCAGGCTAGTTGTGCCAGCCAAAGCCTCACCAGCACTTGAGATGCCTGCAGCTATCATGGAATAAAGATATTATTTGTTTTTAAAAAAACAAGACAAGCAGCATCAGATTCACCTTGTGAATAAGATGACCAAATGCATTTGCTTTAACAGCAGCATACAAACAGAAGTGGGATTTCCAATTTCCCAGTCCTGATACTTACTGTGCAGATCTACTGTATTAGTTAGGACTTTTTCTCTTCAATTCAAGGATAAATCATAATCTAGATTTCTCGTTACGGTTATGTAGATATCTGCCTCCTCAGCAGAACCCTGTCCCAAAGCCTATGACAGTAAGAGCACTCTGAATGGCAACAGCTCTTGAGAAAAATATTTATACATTGCAGTTACACATTTATAAAACCACATATATCAAATGCAATGGTCTCGCTGTAATTTGCACCTGGACAGTTCTACAGTCATGCAGGCATTTCAAAGCATTCCTGAACCTGCATGTGCACACACAAAGTAGCTCTCTTACTGCAGATTACACATTCAAGTCAATTCCTAAGCAGAACAGGACCAAAGCATTAATGGTGGGAAGTGGTGGAATCTCTGTCCATGGAAGTGTTCAAAAAAACCACTTAGACGGGGCCCTCAGTGACATGGTTTAGTGGTGGACTTGGCAGTCCTGGGGTAACGGTTGGACATCTCCAACCTGGTTGACGCTGTGATTCCGTGTGGTCTTACACAGCCATGCTCATACCTGCAGAAGTTCAGCAGCAGCATCCGAGAGCCCGAACTCCCGCAGCACACGAATCTGAATCTCGTAGCTGACTGTGGCGCCCTCGCCGCAGTTCAGGGCATACGCCCGCTGCACCTGCTCCGTGTGGCGCAGCTCCTGCAGCCGCCGGATCATCTCCTTCACAATGAGGAGACTGGGAACTGCAGGGGGACGCAGAACGGGTTGGGGTAACAGAGGTTACTTTTCGAACCGAGACACAGGAAGTTTGATGGCAATGGTTAGGTTTCATTCCAAAGGAAAAACCTACCGGGTTGACTTGGCACTGTTTGTTTTTTAAGCAGCATTCTGCCAAGATCATGTTCCTTGTAGCATCACTAAGCCACATGGGATAACACATATCACACAAACGGTAAAGACATTCACCATTTTTCCAGCTTCTGCTAGAATGAGCCACAAATACAGCCTTCTTTGTAAACCCCTTATGATGGAGGAATGTCATGGTTTGAGGTGGGGGCAGGATGTCTTGAATAACAACTGAATGTTCCCTCATGAATTCTACAGGCCAAGAATTCACTGATTTTTTTTTGCATACACTTCATACTTCTCATGGAATTCTGTAATCACGAGACCATAATACCAGCATGTAACTACAGAAAGAGCATTCTAAAAAAATTACACAAACTGTAAGCCAACATAAACCTGTTAAAATTATGTTGGTTTATGCAGCCATATTGAAATAATCTTAGAAAACCTTTCCAAAAGGAAATAATGTATAATTTGGGGTATTTATCCTGCTGCAAAGCTTTCTCATGCCACTTCTTGCTGCTTTTTGACAATGAGTGGTATTTCTCTGTGGTCTTTCTGTTCTCAGGAAAATGTGTGTATCATAAGAGAAGACGAATCCAAACCTCTGCATATAGAAGTACGGGTATCTGATCCCCTACCAGCTTTACAAGTGTTATATATTACCATAGCCAGATGTCCATAATGAAAACTCATAAAAATCAAATGGATCAGACAGTAAGAGCATCGTGAAAAGGCATCTGCACTATAGAGAAGAAGAAAACCCAGCCCCATGCAACTACAACTGGTCCCAATTTCACAAAGTTTACATTGGTACATGAAGAATAAGTCAAAGTAGCCTTCTCCCCAGGGCTGCTCTGAATCTCTTCTCCACCCAGCCTGTAGCTGTGCCTGGGGTTGTGCTGACCCAGGTGTAGGACCTTGCACTTGGCTTGGTTAAACTTAATGAGGTTGGCATCAGCCCACCTCACAAGCGTGTCCAGGTCCCTCTGGATGGCATCCCTTCCCTCCAGCGTATCAACTAAACCACACAGCTTGGTGTCGTCGGCAAACTTGCTGAGGGCGCACTCAATTCCATTGTCCATGTCACCCACAAAGATGTTGAACAACACAGGTCCCAACACCAATCCCTGAGGGACACCACTTGTTACTGGTCTCCAACTGGACATTGAGCTGTTTACCACAACTCTTTGTCTGCGGCCATCCAGCCAGTTCTTTATCCACTGAGTGGTCCATCCATCAAATTGGTGTCTCTCCAATTTAGAGACAAGGATGTTGTGTGGGACAGCATCAAACACTTTGCACAAGTCCAGGTAGATGACGTCAACTGCTCTGCCGCTGTCCATCCGTTCTGTAGCCCCAGCACAGAAGGCCAGTGTTTCAAATCTTCCTAACACCTCGACTTAAATTCTCTTGCAGCAATTTAAACCTATTGCTGTCTCTAGCATCTGTAAGAACAATTTATCTGCTTCCTTTCAACACAGTTGACTGAAGGGAGACATAATAGATATACAAAGACCTATAACAGAGATATAAAATGGGGACAGGAAAGTGGTGAAGGGAGGAAGATGACTTTATTGCTTTTCTTTATTGCTTTTCTACAGACCCACAAACTGATCCACATCTACTAAAATGTGATGCTTTGACCTAAAAGTGGTTTCCAAAAGTTTAACAAAAGGCTGCATAAGCTCATGAACTAAAAATGCATTTAAAGTTACTAACTACAGAAACACCACCCTCCACAGGACATTTCTGAGCTGTAAATGGTTGAAGAGCACACAGAATTTTACAGGGAATTATTTCATGTGCTTTTTCTGCTACACTTCCCTTATGCACTCACTTCTGGCGACTGCTGGAATACAGATACTAGACCAGGACAAATCCTTAACCTGATCCAGAGTGGCCATTTAAAAGGCTAAACAATACCTCACCCGAGACCAAATTACTTCACATGCCTTATGGCACACACTCGGTTTTGTATTGTAGAGTAACAGCTGCTCTTTATGGAACTGTATAATGTTGACTTCCAGGCTTTTCTCCAGAGAGCTTCCCTCAGCCATCCTATATGCACGAAGCTGGCTACACCGACATAAGCACTACAGTTCCCACTTCCTTCACCGAATGCAAATTTAATCTTGATCATTTAGCTATCTAATCCCACCCTCCTGAACATCCACTGACCCTCCCAACTTGCCATCAGCTGCAAGTTTTGCCAGTGTATTCTCTATGCACACCGAGTGTTAATGCAACGTGGGAAAGAAGAGGAAGAGCTGGATGCTTTGGAAATCCCACCACATACATTGTGCCAGTCCGACACCAAAAGACCAAATGCATAAATGATAAAATATACTATAGCAGTTTTATGACTATACTTCGCTGGCTTGCCTATGGGGAATGTCACACTAAGCATTCTGAAGACAAGAGAGGCCGTATTTACTTCCAACTATAAAAACTTACTCTGTCGCACAAGGAATGAAGTTGGTTTGACTTCAAAGCTAAAGTGTGTTGGGTAAACTCAAAAAAAAGCCTGTTTTGAGTGCCTACTTCCAGTATTTTTCTGCCAAACTGAGTTAAGCTGAATGCCCTACAAGTTACATTCCCCTGCTTTTTGTTTTTAAAACAAATCAGTCTTTTACTATTTTCCAGCTTTCTGGATCCTACCCATCTCGGATGACCAATTGTAGAAAACTGAGAAGCACCCTGAGAACAGAGTGCCAGGCTGCAGCAAGTGCTCTACACCAAGTTTAACCAGTCCAGGGTTTTTCAGACTGCTCAGCTGGGGCAGGTTAGGATACTACCACCTCCAGTAGCTTATTTTCTAACTACTTACTAGGCCATCCAAAAGCAGTTCATGTCTTCAGAGCAGACCAAAGCAGAAGATATTACTGCTGGGTGGGAAGCAGCCCCAATGGTGCAGTAATACTCCGAGGAGATCCTCATACTCAATATAATTCACATTCAGTCCCCGTGGCCCCAAGCCCCAACCACTCACACAAGAGCAGTTGGCCCTGCAAGTGATGTAGCAGCCTTACCTGGGATCTCGTTGGCTATCACTGAAGGAGGACTGGACTGGTTAGTGCTAACTTGCTGGTGGGTAATCATATGACAGCACTGCGGCACCGCGTTGTTCACCATGTAAAGGGTGTCGGGCACGTTGGACATCCGGACCATCCGCAGACGAACAAGATCTGTTTGTTCCACCATCATCTCATCCAGAACCGACTGCAACGACAGCCATTAGAGCCCTCATGAAGGCACGGCCCACATGGACCCACCGGGACCCACTGCAAATGCAGTCCCAGCACCACAAGTCTAGCAATGCCTAAACTGTAACTTTTCCAGGGCCCAAACAGTATTTGGCTTCTCCACAGCATTTCTATTCCATTTTCCAGTCATGATCAGAGTTGAGTTTCAGAGCTAAGAGCAGGCAGGTCAATGAAGCTTGGGAAGGTTACTTTGTTTATTTTGTACCTGTCTGATTAGAGGTAACCTTCTTGAGACCAGACCCTCTGGACTCTCTCAGACAATTACTGCCTACAGGTCTCAACCCTCTGTGCCACTGAGGCATGAGTCTGAAAACAAAATGTGTTTCCCTCAGATATCTTAAAGAATAGAAAGGGATTTACCATACCCTTTTGACAGTCTCATTTAATGTTAAACAGATTTATTACAAAAAATGGGAGGCTAACAGAGGAGTAAAACAAAATGTATCAGCAATCACCCATCTGCAACTTCTGCATTTCACAATAATTAAACTACGACTCGGAACACAGTTACCAGGTAAGAAGAGTCCTCCCTCTAAGGTTAAACAGCTAATGATGCTTTTAAAAATATTAAAACAAGCATAACACAAAACTAATAGAAACAATTAGGATTCCTGATGCGCGGGGGGGGAGGGAGAGGAATTTAGAATGTACTTTTTACTTGAAGATAACTACTAAAGTACTCCCATACCATATACCTGAAAGAGTCAAACCTTTATCACATGTCCTTTAACACATTTTTGTTAGTTTTAACAATCCAAGATACGAAGATCAAATTTGCACTGGCTAGTCTTCCTTTGCTGCTTTACTGCCACCACCTGGTGCTCACTAACCTTTGTGTCCAAAACGCTAAGTAGTTTTATTTCTTCCCTCCCCTCAAAAAGGATGTTGACAACAACTCACACCCTTAGAAAACATTTTCTTTCTTGCGCATAGGGCAAAAGCTCTGAATTCACGAGAGTCTGTAAGCGATGTGGATGTGCACAGCTTCACCCAATCCTCTTGCTCTGCACTACTGGGATTCACAAGCTCTTAAGTCAGAGCTACCCAAAGCAGTGGTATGAGTGACCTACAAGGCTCCCATTCTGTCAAACAGAATACAGCATGTTTCTGCCCCACACAGAGCCATCTCCACCCTGTCACCAAATGTCACCGTCCTACACGATCTTCAGTTTGACGGTCCTCATGCAAGATATTAAATAGGGAAGCTACTGCCTGACTGGGACACAAAGGACTTCAGTCAAATTGGACACAAGATATTTATTCCATTTTGCGGAGGATCTAAAGAATTTTGGGTATGTTTCGATTCAAACAAGATGATGAAACATCAGTCCTCTGCCGAGTGGAATATGAGTTCTCCACCCAGCTCTGGTGGGAGCTGGGGAGCCTGAAAGACCTGGCACCGAGGTTGCTGACTAGCTGCAAACTGGGACTCTCAGGCTCTCACCTTGCCATCCGCCTGCCAGGAGGGCTGCCGAGGAGCTGGGCCGGCAAACTGGCTGGAAACCAGGGAGGTTTCCCTCAGAACGCTGCTTTGTTTCCGGTGGAATTTCATCAAGATCTGTCTCGCAAACATTTCAATTTTGACAAAAAAAAATTTTGTTGAAATTTTTCTGACCAGTTCTAGAGACTTGAGCCTGATGATCAATCTTGTAAGTCTTGTTAAATTGAAAACGTTAGTATTTTATGCCAGTACATGCAAAGAGAGACAAAACATACCAAAATCCTTCCCTGTTTACAGAACCCCCGATGACTTTGATTTAACAATAGTCAAGTGCTGTTAATGATTATTACCTTTGCCTCCTCCACATACGGTGAGAACAGTCTTGGCCGCACGTATATTCCAGCATTTTTTTGCCGCAGCCAGGCATTGGACTTTCCACCTTCTGATGTTGGTAGCATGTCTGAAGGAGGAGTACTAATCAGGCCTCTCTTCATCTTCAAGAATTAAGAAAGAATTTTATGTTGGTTTTTTTTTTAAATATAAATGGGTAAAACTTGCAAGAAGTGCATTTCTTACACTGAATCCTTACACCTGAATTTTCTTTAGCCTCCTGACAGATTTAAAGAACAGAAAATTGAACTAGAAGAGTTATACATGTATTACTCTGAAAGATAACATTTTATGAGCTAATCCTTAAAAGAATCCCCGAACATCGTAGAATCTGAACTACAAAGAACCCAGAGACAGTATTTGTACGAGACTATTGACTTACTGCATCACTCAGGACTTCACTATTCATGGGTAAGATGTGCTCAATGCGGACAAAAGGTAAAAGCGGAGACAGGATCTCTCTCAGCTCCTCGATGTCAAGATCTCTCCTCTTCACACCTCTTTTGTTCACACTGTGAGCAGTACCACTGAGTAAATTTGGTTCTGTGGGAAGGAACAAGACGTACTAAATTTACATCAAAAAGTTCAGATAGGAGAGCACGAGTTATACAGCTTACAGGAACTTACAGAAAAGGAAATAAAATTCTAATTTTAAATCAACAGTGCTTATCAGAGTTGTTCTACAAAACTGTTTCATGCCTTAAAATCTATCACGAAGTATCCACAGAGACAGGTTCAGCTGATAGAAGCATGGGTCATTTGCACAGCTGTCAGTTTCAAAGTGTAAACCAGGAAGAAAATACAAAAATAGTGTTTGAGGTAAAAGTTTATAAAGCTCTCCCAAGAGCTATGCTATGAGAACATTTGCACTTCCCCCAAGGGATGGTCTCCTGAAGCTCCTCTCCCTTCTCCCAGCAGTTTTCAGAGACTTATTTTCTACAAATGAAGGCCTGACGTGTCCACTATGATAAATTATTCTAGTCTCCTTGTGTAACCCACCTTAGCAACAACTGTGGCAAACCCATTTGAATTGCTCTCACGGTCACAGGACACCCATTTGTGTCAAAAGGGGGTATCTTCCTCTTGGAAGATGACAAGATGACAGCTGATGACACACTCAGGTCATTCTCCCTGCTCAGCTAAGTACCTTCACATCTATTTTAGGCATTGTGCCCAACATGAATTCAACTAGCTTCACTCTTTGAGGAAACCTGTCAAACGTACCCATCCTCCCTTCAGTATAGGCAGCTCAAGTGTTGGCCACAGCCCATGACAATTTCTAATGCTGTCCGGTATTTGACTGACACCACAACATAATTCAGAGCTGCAAGATCAGGACCGTCACAGTGGAATTTAGACCAAATTACTAGACTATATTTGGCCCTAATCTGACAGAACCCAACGAAGCTCTTATTTCTGCTTTTGCTTATGATGTTATCTGATGATCCCAGGAAAGAGAAATGAGCTGCTAGCTGAACACCACAGGCCAGGAAGAGGCACAATTACTTCAAATGAACAGCTTCTCCCCCAGCCCAGGTCCATTACTGTTTAACTCGCTCCATCACATCCCAATGTGCCTGAAGACAAATACTTGGAAAACCTTGCTGTGAAAGGTTAATACTTAGGTCACTAAAAGCACATATTTTAACTGATTTTTACTTTTTTTCTGGTTGCATTTCATACATGTCCATGACAAGTTGTATTGCAAGCAGCTATCAGTATCTGATTGAGACTCTGGGGTGAGGATGAACTACAAGCTACTTGCATTTGTAATTTGGGAATACATATATTTTTGGAAATACATATTTAAACGTACTTCCCACATCCAACACGTGAGATTGCCCTTGAAGTTACCACTGCAGCGATAATACACATCCGAGGGAATAAAAATACACTGATGTCTGCTTCAGGAAAAACACTGATGCCACTTGATGGCTTGTTTCTCACGACCACAGATTTCTGTGGGAGAAACATACTAAAACTGAAGTGAAAGGCTGACACAGTAAACTAAGAATAAGACTACTGTGAGAAGCCTGCATGAGAACAGAAAAGATACTGCAGGGTTGGGGTTTTTTTAGTTGATGAATTAGTTACAAGAAAAATAATTTTGAGACAATAGAAACCAACCAGACTTAAAAGTATGAGGTTGAATGGACCTCTAGAAGGCTGGTCCCACCACAACCACCACCCTCTCCCCACACTGGGTAGAGCAAGTTGCCCATGACTACAGCCAGTTGGACTCTGAACACCTCCAAGGATGGAGATCCCATAACCACTCTGGGAAACCTGCTCTGGTGTCTGATCGTCTTCACAGTTTTTTGTGTTAAACCAGAATTTTCTGTACTTCAGTCAATGCCTCACTGCCTCTCATCCTGTCCTGGGTTCCAAGAGAAGAGTCTGACTATTTTCTTTGCTTCCTGTCATTAAATATTTATAGACTTCGCAGAGATGCCCGAAGCCTTTTCTTCTTGAGGCTAAACAATCCCAGCTCCCTCAGAATGCCTGCCTTCTCATTATTTAAGAGAACAAAAGCTTTAAAAAAAGTAAGTACATTTGTTTAGTTTTGACTATAGTACAAACCAAGTACACAAAATCTCCTTAAGTTACAGATTACCCACAAAAAGAACTTCCATATGTTTTGGTTTATTTGATTTAGTACTGTGGTTTAAAGGATCCTTACCTCGATCTGCTATTCTCTTCATCAACTGGTGTTCTCCCCATTTAATCAGGTATTTGAGAATATCTTGTTCACTTGCCTGGTAGAAAGAGAAAGTCAGCGATCTATATATGCTTAGTTTAGTGTCACAGGCACACACAAAAAGTATTTGTACTTTGTGATCTGCTATACCATTTCCTCCCCATATTTTAAGGTAGCACTACTGGCATAACACCACCACGATTTCTAGATTTGTGTCACTGAATCCCTAGGAATGGGGGAGGAGGAGATTTCCACAGAAGGGAAAAAAGTTGTCTAGTATGAAAACGTACAGATATTAAACTTGAATTATTAAAGTTAATTAAAAGGGGCAGTTCTAACACTGGGTGTTTGGATCTCTTGTGTAACATTACCAGTTCAGTATCTGCACAGCCTGAGAAAGCTACAAAAATAATCAAGCCAACTACATTATGATCTAGGTGAAGAGAAAGATTTTCAGCAATATAGAGAAAACAACTTTGCTTTGTTCACACCTATGTACATGTGTTAACCACTCAACAGTTTTAGAGGAAAAAATCATGTACTGAAAAATTTAGATTTATCTATGTAATTTCTTAACAACTAGGGCAGGAAATTTAGTCATAATACACATGCTCATGGAAGATCACCAGTACTGTTCCTGTAACTCCTGCAGTGTTCAACTTAAAAAACCCCAAAACCCAACACTTCCAATAAGCTCTAACATTTTATACTTAAAGAAGAAAAAAAGGTAAGACTGGGACAGGTAAAATTAAAAAAAAAATAAATCCAGTCATCTTTAAGCTATAAAAGGCTGGTCATCATTATAAAGATCTCCCCTGAAGAGAAACCTTCCTCTCCCTAAAACCACACAATCACAGCAGGAAAGTCACAAAAAAGGAAAGAAATTCTGCAGTACTTATCAGAAAACATATTTTTATGTCTCCCCAAAAAATAAATAAAGCCTGCTGAATGATTATTAGTTTATTAGCTCCCACTGCTCCCAACTAGGATGGATGTTGTTACAGCAAAACTACTACCACAATACTGTAAAACACTTCAACATGCAAGGCAAATGTTATGTTCAGAAATGCTTTAGAATAATTTGCAGCCATTTCTATTATTAGGCTTCTAAGCAACAGCACATACCATAACCAGTTTGGGTTGTGTTACAATCCAAGAACAAGAGTTTTCTTAATCGCTACTTCAATTCTATTTTCTACGTATAACAAAAGCAATGCTTCATGTGCATGCAAACCCACTCTTGCCTACAATTTAAAATGAGCTATCCCAAGCACTTCCAGTAATGGTATAACATATCCTGCTTCAAGCAGGACTAACTGTATTCTGCACTGCGGGTTACCTGTAAATAGTCAGACTGGATAGCTGTGAGCAGGTGGTCCTTGCTGAGTTCATAAAAGACATCCGAAGTCATGACCTGGGTAAACTCCTCACAGAGGAAATGTAGTGCTTGGCGATGTACCCACTTGGAACCGTACGGCTGAGAGCTCCACTTCAGAATGGCAATTAAGGTGTCTAGTGAGATGCTCTCGGCAATAATATCCTCACAGCCTAGGAAACAGAAACAAAAATCAATGGTGTTGATACAGAAGCACTTTGATCCTAAAGGAATAATACATATGGCTAAATGTGCAACAGAAAGGGTTGTAAGACTCCCAGTAAGAATAAAGACAGAAGTGCCCCAGAGAGCAAGGTTGCAAACGGGGTTAAATTCTGACTAAAAGTATAATAATTTTATTAAGGTTTAGGACTCCAACTATGCAGCTATTTACCTCTTAAAGGCACATGAAACATCATGTCTATTGGCATGCCTGGATAAACAACTGAAAAGCTAGTTCAGCCCTACTGGAACATCCTTTGGTTAATACACATTATCTGACTGTGAAACACATTTTAAAGTTGCAGATTTGAATTTGAGTCACTACTGTTTGCAGCAGATTCACTGAAGCCTACAAACTATAACAGAGGTGGGATTTTCATCTGTAACACTTTGCACATGGACCCTTCCTGGGACAGACCATGCAGAGGAGCAGAAACAAAAGTTGTGTTGGTACTCAGCTACTCAGCACAGGATGAGGGCAGCAAAGCATCATTTTCTGACTCCAGAGAAGAAGGAAGCAGCAATTGGTTGCCCTAGGCCACCACCCTTGCCTCCATATCAAGCAAAGCACAGAGGGTGCCAGGACAGGGAGCCCTTCCTCTGACAGGGAAGAAGAAAGTGAAGCATCCAAGAGGCGCGTATTCTGACTGGTGGTGATTCTGCAGCAGTTCCTTTGTACCCACTGCTGCATTAGGATTTACTCTTTCCAAAGTACGTCTTAAGAGATGGGACGTTTAAGTCTCCTGAAGGGAGATGGAGCAGATTTGGAATAAGTGAGGGGAGACACTGTGGGAGGGCTGAGAATACAGGTATTTGGGGGTACTGAGTAAAGACAGTACCACAATGCTGGTAACTTGAACTCTCCAACAGAACTCTCTGCTGATTTCATTTGTACATCTGGTTTACATATACACAGAACGCTATTTCTGTTTGTATTATAAAGACAGCAATTTAAAGGAAAAAAGTTATATTCTAGAATTATACATTCCAGTCTCAACCCACTACAGCCACAAAATTACAGCTGTGCTTATGCCCATGAGAGGTCCCTGGACAGTTCAGAGCAGCATGCTTACACTGCAGTTACTTTACTTTTTATACATCATCATTTTTCTCTCAGTTTCAAGGATACTTAAAAACTTAACTTTGACAGTTGTTTAGAGAACTGTATCTCATTACTGAGCTCTTGGACTAAGCTGAGGAAAAAAGTGGTTAGCACAGTAATCTTAATGTTTGTCAAGACAAAGATCAAACATGTTCTCCTGATGCTACAGATTTTTGAACTGGTTGCATACATGTGAGACACCAGCAGCAATTAATAGCGTGACTCACCTGAGAAAAGGAAGACCATATACCAACACAGCCACTGACAGAAGGGCTAGCAAAAGCAAACACATTTCCAAACAATGCATTAGGCAATATTATACTATTCATGCCAAGTTAGACCCTTCCTTTGCTTTTGACAAAGGGGTAAGCACTGGGTCATGTTTCAATGCACTACTTCATCCTTTACCATTACTGAAGTAACATGGCTTCTCAGAGCTACCTATTACCATTAGGTTACATCGTATTATTACTACTGTAAGTAAGAACAGATGTTACTATAGATACTGACCTCTAACCTGCACAGTGAGGACTAGCCTAAAGCAAAGAGTGAAGCAAAGATTAATTGGAGGCACTTGGAATATCACCCTGTTCATCACTGGTACAGATGAGAACAGATGAAGAGAACTGCTCTGAAATAAAACCCCTTGGGTTTTGGTCCAGGCTAGATATGTTAAGACTGCAACTGAAGTCTAAACCTTTCCACTTCAAGATCCATTTTTACTTACAAATTCTGCTTACATAGTTAATGGCTGACACTGTATTTAACTTTGTTGCGTGATTCCCCCTTGCCTTCCCTTTGGGACTCAAAAAGGAACGTTAAGTTAGCAGCAAGCCTGGCATGGCAAATGAAAGCTAAGTATGACTTCTAAGCAGAATGCTTAGAAGAAGAGCTTGCATCCCTGAACAAGAAAGAGTTGTTTGAAACAATTCTTCAGGTCATATGTTGTGTTGCATTAAGTCCTCCCCTGCTAAATCCTAACGCAACTTTTTGCATGCAATTATGCTGCTTGCATGCAAGCTGACTTTCAGCAGATGATTACAGCCCCCTGAAGATCGCACGAAAGGTCTGCTCCGTTTCAAAGGCCATATGTAAACCCACTCACCGAAATCAGTCACGAGGAAACTCAAACTGTAAGAGCAAAGAGACTTATCTCAAAGTGAATGCCATTCCTGGTATTTCATCTGACATTTACTTCTGAAACAAAATCCATCCCCTGCAAAGACAGAAAACTATGTTTCTGTGAGAAACACAGTTCCAAAGATGTAAGCAACACTGACCTATAGGAACAGAGCATCAGCTCAGTCCCAATTCTTCTGTCAAGTTCAGTTACTGCACAACTACCAAAAATATGACAACATCAATTGAACAGCTCACTTATGATGCCTAGCAAATAAATCCTTTTCCCAAGTTATCTCAATAATGGGCCAGAACTGCAGAATTGTTAAAAGTATGTTTCGAAGTAAGCATGAGGTAGTAAGTAAAGTGAACATCTGAACATCTAAATAAATTGGGGCAAACCAATTCTAGCTGTTAAAGAAATACAAGTTTTTGGCAGAAGTTTTTTTTCCTTTAGCTATCAGCCACTTGGGGAAAAAAAAAAAAAAAAAAAAAAAATTTAGAAGTCATCTAATAGCCACAATATTTGTCCATTACAGTGGAACAGAGCATTTTTCTCTTCCAAGTACTATTTTATAATATTCAGGCAGTAATAGCCTTTCCAAGAGACATTCGCAGTGTCCCAAAGTGCTCCACCACAAGCTTCTGTGACCATTAATTGGTATCTTTCAGAGATTCAACTCAGTCTAAAGAAATGTGGGGGTGGTGGTTGATGAGAAGCTTGA